TTGTATTCCTACTACCTTCTGCAATCGTAGTCACATGTGAACTGTTGCTCGGGCGGTTTGTGTTGGACTCGTTCCAGGATGTCGTGCGGGTTTTGTGACGGCCAGTGGGAGGGGTTCATGGGAGAGGTTGGAACCTGTTGCAGCACACCTCCGATCGCAGAAGCTGTGCGCTAAAGCTGAAGGCCCAGCACAGCATTCACAAACAGCACAAGTCGTGAGCCGCAAAGGCGAGCTCCGAAGGTCTGAACGCATCGAGATCTGACCTCAAGGCCTTCAGGTTTGGCGTGGGCTGCGGGACTTGGGTAAGTAGACAGTCTCCCTTCACCACCTAAAGACGCAAAAGTGCGTTCAGGAACGTCGGACTGAGCCCGATGCCATTTTCGAGCTTTGGCATTCTTGCCATCGCGCCAGAAGAGCTTTGCGACAGCGATGATGACATGCCTGCATGCCAGAACTCTAACGTCGACATCGGTTCTCTCGGGACGCTCGTGGGCTAAGTTCAGCGCAGCGCGCCATCCAAAAAGACTTTCTGCCACTGCAGAAGTTTACTGCCTAAGACTTCCGATCTGGTCTCCTGGGAATGGGAAATGTGATGCCGAAGCTGCATGTATTTTGCTATCACAGGTGAAGCAGGTCCCTTTGGCAGACAAGGAGAGGTTCCTTTCCATTTTAATGCGAATCAACCGAATGATAAGGACCCTTTACCACGACTCGAAATGGAACGTCCCAAAGGAACACTCCTAAACTGTGGAAAGACAGTGCCTAGAATCCTTTCAACCCCAAAGCCATCTAGGGCGACAAGAACGTGGAAAACTTGGCGGCAGTACGAGTGCAAACAGCTACAACGACCTAGGTCCTAAGTACTACAGAACAATTTGCTATCACTACATGAAGCAGCATGATGCTCAGAGTCATGATGTGCTTCTGCAGCTGAGATGCGCATCGTTCTCGCATTTCTTGAGGGCATCGACGCCTGGGAGTTTTCGGCTCCAAGCCACACTTTATGGTAGCTCTGTAGCTGTCAGGGGTTGTACCTGAATGGAGGGCGGTGCGTGCAGGTGAGGCTGGTCTGCAGGTGCAGTGGCATGCGTCTTCGCCAGGGCAATGGGGTTATAATGTCTTTCCTAGCTATGCTCGGGGCTGAAAGTTGGGCGATAAGTACGCTTAGAGATTGGCTCGGTTTAGGATCAAGCCTTGAGATCCCCTTCTGATCTAGGGATAGATAGCCTTACATAACCTTTTTAGGAGTATGCATCTTCAAACAATCTGGAGGGGCATTCGGCTCTCTGGCTGCCTCTGGTTGGGCTTTTGGGTTGGGGTTTGGATTTAGTTTTGTACGGTGGGAGCTTTCGGGCTAGCAGGCCACCAGCTACGGGAGCCGCCGCAATGCAGAGTCGAGGAGGCGTAGCAAGATCTGTCAGCACATGCAGACCGCAAACCCTGCATGGCCCTACAGCAAACAAGATTCCTAGACATGCACCTCAATACTCATAAAAAACTGAGAAACCGACTAAACTCAAAGCCCGGAGCTCTGAGCTTAGCTACATGGACACAACCGGGTTACCGAGAGCGAGCGCATTCCAGGATCTAGATTGTCTTACTGATATGCAGTTCCTGGAAGAAGGGTTCCTAACTTCCTGACGCAAAACTCCAAGACGGCCACGCAGATTAATAAAAGGAACCTGCATGTCGTTCAGGGCCCCGTGCTCTTTGCGTTCTGGCCCTGCTTTGGTTCCAGCTCGATGGCCTGCAAGAAGACCCGCAGGGACTTGCTCGGGTTTGAACTTTAGGGTGTAAACTTCGCACCGCTGGTAAGCTCTAAACTGCCTCTGAGCACACACATCGCGCTCTCAAATTCCTGTCGCTACAACAGGATGTGGTTCGGATTTTAAAAATTCGTCGGGTCTAGGAAAGCTCTAGCCCTGCTCCAACTGTGCAAAGGGAGCTGCGGCCTTCGCCCAAAGCAAGCCACTGGTGGGGCACTCCTGCGAAAGGCTGGGTCAGGCAGAGCATCGGATTTTCAGGGAACCTCGGACGGGATGTGGAGATCTTGCTGTGTTTTGAAGGTCAGGCGATGCAGAAAGCAGGGCAGAGGTGGAGGTGCTAAGACGACCAAACTCACCTTGAGTGTAACCCTTTGGGTATGGGACACTTCCGTTTTTTAGCACGAAGGCAAACAGGGTTGGATAATTTTGACAGCAAGACAGCCATGTGGTAGTTTGCAAAGCAGAAGCATACAAGAGAGTTCAACGAAACACTCCTATGATCTCGTATGTATTGTGCCTATGTATACACTGGGAATGCATGGCGGTATTCATGCATGTCTGCTTGCTGATGTGTGTACATGTATGACGGCATTTATTTCGCACGCTGTTCAACGGAAACAAAGCTGTAAGGCTTCAGCTCAACCTCTTTCTGGTCAGCCAATCAAAATGAAACCGAGCAGGATAACGATCAGCAGAACTTTAGTTGGGCTAGTTTCGCTACGCCATCCGGTGGTATTGCCACTCCCACCTATCAGATTATCACTACGCTCGACAACAGCTGCAAGTGTCATAACAGTGGTGTTTGTTTTGGTATGTCACCATGTCTAGGCCAGCAGTACGAGTAAGAGTTGTCGAACCGGGGCTGGCATTCTTGTTCGCCTAGCATTGTATAGCCGCCGCAACCATGACATCTCGGGAGGCCATTTGCAAGTCGAGGTTGGGAGGACGGGCGTCCTGGAGTGCTTTGCTCATGAGGTGGTGCGAGAGGCGCTCCGAGCCGTCCAGAAGCTCCACCTGGCCACACTCTGAGATGTGGGAAGGGGTCGCAGTTGCTTTGTAAGTCAAAGGCTACGGGGAAAGGCTTTGGCGCCCCCGAGGGCCGAAGCGCTCCAAGAGTGCAGGATTTGCAGCACAGGCTCCAGAAGACTTGCTTCAACATCTCTCGTTGTTATAAACGATGCAATCTACCGTAGAAGATAATGCAACAATATACTTTGATTTAAATCGAACAAGAAAACTCAAACCAATGTGTAACCAGAGCTTCTTGAGCAATTACCTCATTGTTACTTCGTCGGGCTTTGGTAGACGATGCACGAACTGTTCTCTTTACGGCCATTTGCGTAGAACATCTGCTTGTTTCGTGTAGATTTCCGAGCATGCAAATGAGCTTGCTGTATCAAAACAGTTATCGCGAGCTTTCTCTAAATTGACGGCAGTGCCTTTGATGGACAAAACCTCCAGGTTTACTTCACTGGGTAGTGGCGCTCTTTCTGACTGGAGAGGACTTCGAGTGAGGGTTTAAACCAGGATCAGAAATCTCGTCTGAGGGCATCTGTGGGACGGGGGGAATCACAAAGCTGAAAGGCATTGCGCGGAAGAGTTTGTCTGTTCAGATGGGCTCGCAGCATGCCACCCCTTATGCCTACAACCGGTCATCTGTTCAGAGCCATGGTGGGTCTTGTAGAAGTCGGAATAGGGTTCAGGAACGAGGCAAGCGACGATTATGGGGCTGAGTACCAGGCCCCAACCCCCGCAGCGCAATTCACCAGCGCGACTCCCGTGTGAATTCTCTGAAGAGCACATGCAATGTCCTGATACGTGGAGATTGCAGGATCAGGCCTCGGGCTTAATGCCTGGAATCCAAGGCAGGAATCTCAGAATGATGCAAAGGCCGGACATGTTTCGGCACGCAGCTGGCGTTGAGAGTCACTCCAGCCAACTGGCTGCATCTCGCTCTGAACTCGACAGCCCTCCCGTCTTGCCCGAGGCCCAAACAAAATTCCGATCTCTATGGAAGCCAAAGCTCACGAGTGTTTGAAATCGTGGCCCTGCAAACCTGGAGTTGGAAACATTACCACGAGAACTTGGCTGCCAACTACCAGCGTGCTGAGATTCTGTCTCCGCAGCATGACGGATGAAACCCAAGCTTGTGAAGTGTGATGGTGTCTTGCAAAGCTGTCTTTATGTGGCTTACTCGTGCCATTCTGAGTTCAAGTTCCCTCCAAGATGAAAGACCAGAAAGAGAGGAGCTTACCGCAACAATTACAAGGACCCCCGGAAAACCATTGGGAGTCGATTAACGCGAAGATTACAATTATCGAGCTGCAAGTGTGATTGGAAACCGAGTCTCGGGGTGTGAACTTGACCATGCTTCTACAGGGCTTTTCACCGGAATACTACTCAGGACTTCTTGAGGCTCCTAAATTCCGAAACCCGGGCAAAGCACGGAAACTCTCAGTTCGAGCATTCTGCCCGAAGAGAGGCTGTGATTGGCTCCACCACGAGCAGCGAGCTGACAGTCGGCTTTCTCTCCACTCCAAAGCGATCTCGACAGAGAGAAGGGCTTCTACGGTTTACATCTTTGGTGTTTTGTCAGATTCTTTCATCTGCATGGCTATGGTGATCATTGTATGAGAAGCCCAAATCCCAAAGAGATTGCAGACATGGAGACAAAACGTCCCCCGCAGCACCTCTCTGCGCGAGCGCAGAAGGCCCTCGCACCGGGGAGACGCGTCAAAATCACCAATAGGCCTAAACCTTACTTAAAGTGATGCAGGGATTTCGATGAGAGACCTCAGTTCGGATCCCCTTCGTACATGGCAGTGCAGAACACATTTTCAAACTTGAGCATCCCGACAAACCAATGGAAACTCGACTCGAAGAAACGTCTCCGGCAAGCACGCATGTCGCGAGTGGATATGAAGTACAACAGAGCATATGCAAACATGGCACTACAGAGTTTGACGTGGCTTGCAAGAGTCACGGGGTCCAAACTGGGGCCTTGACCAAAGTCCTTGCGGGTCCGGGAGCTAAAACTGCAGCGTGCTGTTTCTGCTGGTCATATGACCTGCTGCTGGCATTATCCCTAAATATCAACTATCACACGAAAACCCTCATCACTATGCCTTCCTCTTATTGATGGCATGTTGGCAAGTTGACTATCCAGGCAACTGGAAACCTCCTCTGCTCCCCACACCTAAAACGACTCTCTTGACCGAAATTGCCAAAGAGGGCTCACAGTGGAAACTTCACACCTTCCGACGTAAAAACCGGTGTTGCCTCTGCCTGGGCAGTCGCTTCGGGACTTGACTTGGAGTTCCGGTTCGGGACGCTTTTTGTTTTGCTTTTGGGGTTCTTGCTGGATCCCATCTGAACTATTCGAAAAAGTCCCCCTTGGCGAATCCCTGAACGCCTCGACTCTGAACCCCACGTCCTTCAGAACTCGCATGAAGCGAAGCTTTTGGCCTCGGGCCTCGGGGATGTAAACGCCCTGACCGAAGGAGGGCTGCAGGGCGAGGTCGAAGTCGTCCCAGGCGTTCTTCTGCCTCTTCGGCGAGGGGTGGCGTGGTGTGTTAGTCTTGCGGGCTCCCTGTTGAGGGTTGCAGAGTTTATGGTCAAGGCTCACAGGTTTTGGAACTTGCTCGGTTTAGAATAGGCAGCTCATTGAAAAGCTTGAGCTAAGCGGCGGCTGAGCACCAAACTTGGGCCCACAGCTGCGCGAGCAGGCGAGCCTCGACTCACCAGTCGCGAGACCGACTTGTATGTATGGCTTTCCGCAGCTAGTTAGTAGTTATGTCTGTGTGAACATGGCTCTCAAAACGCGAAACAGCCACAGAAGGAAGATAGGTATGTATATGCCCACCCTCGTGGTCTGTCAGTTCAGAGGCAAGGGGCCGGATGTAGGTGCTTCGAGGGTAGAAGTTGTTGGCCTCTCGGATCCGTGCTTGAAGCTCGCCGATGAGCACCTCGGCCTCTTGGTCTGTAATCCAGCCTTTGCTGGCGGCACGGGCCAGTTGAGTGACGCGGTTGTGCCTCGGCTCATCTCTGCGACTGGACATGACAAGCCTTGCCAGATCTCATCACGACAGCATCGCAGTTGCAAAGCCGATGCCGCAGGAGCAACGCAAAAGCCTATCTTGAACTCGGGAGAAGTAAAATTCCCGAACGCTTGGGCACTGCAACCAAGAGGCAAAATGATGCGCAGCGCCATCCCGTGCTTGCCTTGGCTGTAGCCCTTCAAACAACGCATGCAATCTGTAGGCGAGCAGCAAGCTGGCAGGCTCCTGCCTTTACCACAGCCCAGTTGCTGAAGAAGTAGCGGAGGGGCATCGTTTCTGCCAGAATGGCCAGATCGGCACGGGCAGTCTCAATCACGCGGTTGATGCACTCCACCAGGGCCGGGTATCGTTCCTTGCCGCTGAGGGGCTTGAAGTCTGGTGTAAGATATCAGCTGAACGCCCCAAATCCAGAGGCCCTAGAAAGACCTGACCACAAGCATTCAACAAACCTTTGCGCATCCAAGCGAAAGAGGGCCGTCGTGCACAAATAGCATGAGGCCGAGAATCAATGGACATCGACGTGCCCAGCAGTTCCTCATGAGTCTCGATGAACGCCCACGGAGTCTCGACTTTCGCCTTGCGCGGCCGCAAAAACGTAGGGGGGGGGGGGGGCATGTTTTCCAGGGGTATTTAACTTGTCGGGCTGTTGTACATCAGGTGCTCTGACAGTCCTATTGTCAAAATGTTGAGTTGGACGTCGTGTGGAGAATCCTATCTCGATCACCCCCACCTGAGACTCGCCAAGAGATTGACTCTTCAAGTATTCGGTGCTTCAGCTTTCAGATTTAGGTTTCTGGTTTGAATTGTGAGGGCTTTTTCGGCTCGTTGTTTCTAGCTTTTGGCTTGCGGGCTGAAAACTCCGAGCCACAAAACCTTCGGAGTTCCGGCGGATAGGTGGAAGGATTGAAGTCGAAAACCTCATCTGCTACGGGGCTCACAAAGTTCTGTCCTACCTTCGCTGTGTGGTAGGCGAACGCTTTGGCAGCCGACACCCTCTCGGCAACGCGGTCCAGCAGGGTACCTGCTGGGTATCAGGATCCAGAGCACCCTGAACTCTCACAACCCATCCCGAATCCCTAATACTTTTTGTTTCGCAGTTACACGGATTCATAAGACTGTGAAACTCTGTCAATGAAAAGATTTTCAACAGCAAGCAAGGTGCTGTGACCAACGTGCTTCCTCGGCTGATTCAGAGGGTTCGTGAGGTTCAAGGGCTTTGAAGCTTCAGGGGTGTCCGAGTTGCACTTGCGATATCGGGGTTCAGGCATGGAAAACAAGTGCCCTAGATGTTGAGCTTTGACCTGGTTCAGGGGTGCAAGGGTTTCATTGCCTGTTTAGACTTTTGAGTGTGGGTTCGGCCTCCTGGGTTTTCAATGGGGCACGGGTCTTGGATAGTTTGGGCCGCGCACGGGGCTCGGGTTGAATTTGTGGAGGGTATGGGATGACGAATGTATGGCGTAGAAGTTCAAAAGCTGCCATCAGAGCAAAGCTTCTGAAGGCAGAGGTACTCGATCAGGACGGGCTGCAGGATATCCATAAGCCTTTGCTGTCGGGCATTTGCGGTTTGTTCACTACAGTGAAGCCTGTAGCCACGGCCTTAGAACAAGCCTTTTCTTTAACTCTATTTCGCACATCATTTTCTTGCGGTTGTTTTGGGAGTGGTGGCGGCAGCGTGGTGTACGAGCTGGAATGGCCCCAATCTAAGCGGAACCATGAGATACCACATCATGGGAAATTTGCTAGAAACGGTGCGCTGCCTTGAAATTGCGCCACGCTTCACAAGAATCAGCCAGCAGGTGAGCGGACCTCGCCTGAACCAGCTACAGAAGTTTGGTAGCGGGAAGCGCCCTTTTCTGGAACGAAGTCCACTGCGCCGGCCATCCCAGCACTTCTAGGAGGAATCACGGCTCTGCGCTCTGCAACCGAGTGCGCAATAAAGCCTCTGGGCACAGTCTTGTAAAATTATCAATTGTTTTTCTTTTTTTGAGGAAGGGGGGCAGCGGTGGCGGGCGCGAGGGGGGACGGTCGCAAGGCTGATTTCATTGAAAAAGCTTCACCCCCCTGTGCCCCGCCCGCCGGTCCGGCAGAATCAGTTAGCAGGTTGGCATTGAGTCCCTTCCTGCTGACACGAAACTGGGCTTGACCCAACTAGTGACTAGTGCCCAAACCCCAGTCCAGAAAGCCATTGAAACCCGAAGCTGAAACTCCAAGAACCCCAGAAAGAAAGCCCAAAGAGCTCACAGCGCACTACGAAGAGATTGTGCGGCTCCGCTCTGCTTGCAGCCCGGTGGCAGGCCCCGACCGGCCTTGGAGTGCACGGCCTTCATCTCCTCGTCCATGAAATCTTCCACCTCTTAAAAGGAGGCCATGGCTTTGGGGGTTGGGGATTCAGGTCTGAGGCTTTGGGGGTCAGGGTCTAGGAAGCCCGTCATTCTGAGTAGCCCTGACTACGACAATAGGACGTAGCGCAACATCCGTGACAACGAAGAAAAAATATCGCAAGTATATCGCCACCGGGAGTACCACATGGATACTACGATACTACCAACAATCATCCCAACAATCAACATACGAGCAGCATCAACCTCAACAGCGATGCATGACAGCAGCCATAACATGATCGTCGTGCAGTAGTAGTATTCGCCGCGTCCATTAAACCTGCAACCAAAAAATGTATGAGGACATGACTTTACAGTACCTGCAGATTCTTCAAAGATGACCCCCCCCACGCCCTTCTCCAGATCCGTCAGCGCCTGCCGAGAGTTCAGCTCCTGCGTAGCGCAGTCCATGGCCTCATCCACAGCGGACATCAGCCAGCTGTAGGCCTCCAGCCACAAAGGAGGGGATGATGCTGTACGGCCGTGGTGGTGATGGGGTCGGTGATGTAAATTCTGTTACACATTTTGCTTTGCCATGTTCGTACTTATCGTGCTCGCAGGTGTAGAAATCATCATCGTGTCAGAAGTCGTAAGAACCCTGGTCAGCAGAGTGCCAACATGGAAATCCATCCGCAGCCTGGCCCCCGACGAGGCCGTGGTCAAACTTGTCCTGGAAGCTCTTACGAATGGCCTCGAACAGTCAGATCTTCCGCTGAAGTTGGGATTTTGCTCACTCCTCCAAACGTAGCGCTCCACTACAAAAGCTAAACTGCCAAACCGGCCAGCAACGCTCCAAAAGCCCCAAACAAACAGTCTTGCATGTGCAGTTTTGAACCTTCCGACAGCAGAAACCTAAAAGCTTAGGTATACCGGTTGATAGCTGAAGGGTCGAAAGGCTTCCTGCTTAAGTTGCGAATTATGAAAAGCTGGACAACTGGCTGGCTTCATGCGACTTCCCAACCTCGCATAACTGAGCACAACATCCTCAGCCTGTTCCCCTCGTATCCAACGATAAGATCCATGAAATCAAGACTAAATATCATCCGACCTAGAATGGCAAGGCTGGCAACCCGAGCACCGAATTTTGTCATGCCAAGTATTAAAATGCAGCAACGCAGTCTTCGCCAAGGCCAGGCAAGCAAGTACAATCTGTTTTGCACCCTTCCGCTGACCAGCACCTGAACCGTAGAATCCCAAAGCCCAATGTGCTGGTGCCGAAAACATTGCGAACTGAGCGGCATTAAGAAGTACCCGGAAGAAGCTGTTGATACTTTGGCTATCCGCATGCGGGCGCGGCTCGAATAGCAACATCAGACCTGGGCTCCAGCGCAAAACGAAGGACATGTTTATCAACGATTCTGCTTAACTAGAGATTTGACGTTGGGCGTTTGACCCATCTCCACCCGCCAGCGCATGTGGGTGAAGGCCCCGCCTGGAGGCGCTTCTCCCTTAGGGAGTTTGCTTCCCGTCGAGAAAAACGAGTTCGAGCGCATTATGGCACTGACGCTGTCCGGCGTGTGGAACTGGATAGCAAGGAAGACGTGATTCAGCCTCAGGCCAGGCTTGGGCAGTTTGTTCTGGTGATCATGTGCCTGGAACTTGTCCGCTGTAGTTCTTAAGGTCAGGGCTTTGCAGGTCTTGGACCCTGAAGTTTACGGTATGTTGGCGTTGACCTACCCGAGGCAATAACAGTATCGACCGAGCCAGCCAGCCCGCCGGCCGGCCGGCCCGCTACCTGCCATACATACATACATACATACATGCATGCATGCATACATACATAATCAACATCGACATGCGTGTTTTGTGCGTACACATGTACAAATGCTTACAAGTATGCATGTACGTATGTGCGAAGATGTGTGCAGACATATATATATATACACATAAATAAATACATACTTATATATATATCTATATATATATATATATGCATGCACATGCGGATATAGATTACACATATATGTATGTATGCATGTATGTACCTGCACACGTACGCATGGCATGGAAACAACACATCGCCATCTCACTGTGTTGGCACATAGGAAAAGAGAGCCGACACACAGCCCCGAATGTCTCTGCAAGACATGCTGGCAGCAAACAACGAGCCCAAAGAAATCATCGTAGTTAGAGACGCCTAGCTGTAAAATGTTTGGTGAAAACAATATACATATCATGGTATCTAATAATGAAAGGCGGCATCCATGGCGCTGTGGGCACAACCTGGCGCTCCGTGGCACCATTCTTCCTGGGTCTGTATATGCAGGCGATGACGATTTTTCGGTTGGAGCCGTCAAGGGTGTGTTAAAGAGTTGCGAATGATTCGGCGTAGTTCGGTGTTGGAAAAACACACCCTAGATGCTCGACCTGAAACAATTGAATGGAAACCCAAGCTTCTGCCAGGAAAACACAAATTCTGTGATGGGCGAACTTTCGGAGCCATTGCAAAGGATGGTCACCTTGGCATGCACCCACCAGAACAACAATAGCAAGAACAACAACAACAACAATCACCGCTGCTGCTGTTGCTGCTGCTGCTGCTGCTGCTGCTGCTGCTGCTATTACTCCTGCTTCTGCTGCTGCTGTTGCTACGCCTATACTCTACTTCCACCAGTACTACTACTACTACTACTACTACTACTACTGAAATAAAGCTGATGCACTCAATATCAATACTAAACACTAATAAAATTAGTACTAATACAAACATTAAAACTAAAACTCTCAAACATCTGGAGCGGGCCGAGCCACAACGGCACCGTCCGGAACTGCCGAGAGCCGCTCCTGCAACTGCACAGATCCGCTGTGCAAAGCCCCTGTTGTAACGTCGAGGCAGGTGGCATTGTGACCTGGGGCGCTGCGGCTTCCTTGTTGTTGAGATTTACGGTGCTGTCGTCTTAGGATGGATTGCGGGTTGCGCTGCTTTGAAACGGGCCTCAAAACACTTGAACCGGGAATTGGTGCGATGACGATGACCCAGCTATGGCTGTCACAAGGTTTAGGCATTTGCCGGGCAGATTACGTGGTTTCGTACCGGCCCAACAAGAATAAGGTTTAGGGGTTATCCGTCTAACATCGTTGCAGGGGCTTCGCAGGAAGAGTAGGAGCAGTCACAGGCTCCCGTGTTCATGAGGCTCACAGGGCGAGCCAGGCTTTTGCTGTAGTGGTCTCGCTGTTTTCTCTCAAGATGCAAGGAAGATGTGGCTTCATGGAGCTCTACCCGATGTGGCAATCAAATGGGAGGTCAACGAGTAGAAATGCACTTGATGCCTTGCAATGCCCTGCACCCGGTGCCGAGCCAGGCTGAGAAGGCGACATTGAGGCAGGAAGCTGCAGGATGATGACATCTCCTGCGGCTTCGCAGGCTCCACAGGGCGATAGCAGCAAAACGTATCTTCATCACTGCTGCGAGTACAACGACTGTAACATCATAACAACAATAAGCATAGTACTGTCATCATTGCAAACTGGCTGGAAAGTTGCCTTCAGTGGCCAAGCACGACAAACAAAGCCCCGCAACTCAAAGCTTACCAGCTAATTTTGAAAGGTCTCCTCTTCCGGCCATTTGGCATCTGTGACGAGACCAACATAGATACCTGGGACGGCCATGGCTCAATGCAAAGCCTCCAAGGCCTGAATTTGCAATGCCGTACGCATTCATGTGCGTGAGTTTGAAGTAGTATGGACGACAGCTTGCTCACCTCGCAGTGATGAAGCTTTTCTCTGCTCAGAATCACCACGGACAGCAGCACCCGAAGCTAGATTGAATGCTGTACTTGCAAGTGTTGTTAAGACAAACACAGATCTGCCCACACATGCGTGTAGAAGAAACGTCAGATAGTTATCGAACGGGAAAGTGTTGGCAGTGTTGGGCTCGCGTCCCTGCCACATACGAAGCTTATGAACGCAAGCTGCGCCATCAAGACCTAAACCCGAAAACGCTAAACCCGAACCAGGAAGAAACATGTCCCGAAAGTTTCACCTGTCCCAACAAGTACCCTGCCTTACGAGAAGCCTTGCCGTTTTAGAAGAGACACGGGAGCGGGACCTGGAAGTGACCTTCACCGAGACGCAGTACGGCCTAAGCTGGTCTTGCATCAAAAGGTGTCGGTGTTGCAAGAGTCGTCGTAGTAGTAGTAGTAGTAGTAGTAGTAGGGCCGGGGAGCACTGCCTTTGAGGCTATGCTTTTGGATCCTGCAATAGCTAGGATGCGCATAAGCGCCGGGATGCAGATCCTGCCCCAAAACTTGGACCGCTAAGCGAGAGACTTCTTGCTGCGTCTGGAAGAAGTAGTAGTAGTAGTAGCAGTAGTAGTAGTAGTCGTAGTCGTAGTAGTAGTGGTGCCAGTAGTAGCATCTGTAGTAGCAATGGTACTAGCGGTACTGGCAAGTGTTCGCATCTTGTAGTTCCAGCACCACTGCCATGACATGACAGGTCCTCTAGATGAAAGAAGCTGATAGCGAAGATGCTCGTCACTCGTCTGCATCGTCATCTTTATGATTCTATCGGTTTCCACACACAACGCTCGGACTTGCCTGTTTGGAATCTCAATGTGGTTCTGCAGTACAATGCTTTGTCGCGGATCTGGTGTCAGTCTAGGAGCCATGGTACTACCACTACTACTACTACTACTACTACTACTACTCCTGCTGCTGCTGCTGCTACTACTACTACTACTCCTACTACGATTACACTACTACTACTACTACTACTACTACGACTACTTCTACTACTGCAACTGCTGCTACCACTGCTGCTACTACTACTACCACTACCACGACCACGACCACGACGACCACCACCACCACCACCACCACTGCTAAAGCGTCTGGGCCCGAGCCTCGTTGAGTGCCCCGGGGTTGTGTGCGTGTGTGTGTTCCCTCCCTCTTTGGCGTCCTTTTCCCCCCTAAGCTTCAGGGACTTGGGTACGCCATAGCTCCTCGCTTGCTGGTTCATGCGCTGCTGGCTTCTCCTGCTCCGACTGCCGCTTCTCCTATGGCTAGTCACGGTGACAAGGAGTCCCTTCGACGAACAGGACTATCGGAGACCCAACGCTGGCTTGATGGTACCGTGGATGGAGGCACCGACCCACCCACGGGAGCAGGATCTGGACCCACCTCATCTGGACCGACATTGGCCCGCTCGAGCCTTGACTGCAGCATCAAACTTAGGGGTATCCGTTTCAATCAGTCGATTTTTAGCTCTTCCCTGGTGTCTCCACCGACGACCGCCACCCAATCGGACGCACGACGGGAAGCAAGAGCATTGGCTACTGCCTCGACTACCTGTTCGACGGGGACATCGCAGCCAGCTGCCTCCACCCGGACACCCGCAGCGTTGCAACAGCAGCTGGATCTTTCATCCATGGACTGAGGCCGCCATCCCCCAGCAGCTCCTAGGTCAGTGGACTACAGCACTTGATTCTCAGGATCCGTCTCTGACGATGCCGAGCCCCTTCCCTTCTTCACACACAGGTCCGCTGCAATCGGCGCGGAGTTGGAGGTTTACCTCCGCCCGCTGTTGTGCTCTATCCATGCTGTCCGCCTTGTCAGGCCTGTCTAGCAGTGGCCCCGCCTTTCTGTGCGCCCCCCACTCTTCTCCCCGCATTCACTCCCCATGCCCACAGCCCTGGACGCAGGTACTGCCTCCTCCCCCAGCCGCCGACGCTGACTCGTCTTCTCTCTGCTACACAGGAGCGTCACAGTGCTGGGATGGGTTTGATTGGGATACCTCTGAGGGAGTTCTGCTGTGCACTTCAGGGATACCGGGGGTGTCATGCCTCTCACGCCACCCTCCTGTGCTGACCGGTGTCCCAGCCCGCAAGTCTACCAAGATAGCCCTCATACCCGTCATGCAGCCTGCCCATATCACGACAGCCGCTTCGCCACATCTGCAGGGTTACATTCTCAGTGCAGAAACCTCGCATCCCAGGGTCAGGGTCAACTTAGTTCACAGCGTAATGCAGAAGGCCCCCCACTCTAGGATGGACCCAGCGTGGCACGGCAGTGTGGCATGCAGCACCGGCCTTAACTCCCCCCGGATCTGGTATAAGTCCACCTGGTGCCCTCTCCCCGCCATGGCCAGAGGCAGACGTTTCCTGCGCCGGCATAGACCTAGGGACACGCTTCGACAGCGTGCCAGACCCCCGCAGCATGTGAGACGACGCCCCACGTCTGACGAGAGGCCGGAGGTGGTGAACTCCTCGAGCTCCTCTGAGCCTGCAGTCATAGACGCCGATGCCGAAGACAGCAGCTCGTCGGACCCGGTGGCACGCCGCAACCGCACCAGACCTCTCACTGTCTTCTCGGTTCCTACGACCAGGCGGCCACGAGAGGAGGAGGAGGAGTCGACCGGGCCGGATACACTAGTGCCTGACCCTGAAGTCTTTCAACAGACAGCACTGCGCAGAGAAATGGCGCCGGACGAGTTCATGGCCACGGCGGCACTACTTGGGCGTAGTTATGCAGTACCGGAGACCGACAGGAGGCCCTCCGCAGCGCCTACCCGCCCTACTTCATCATCCTCCACAGCTGGCTACACCCTGACAGGACGGCCCGGCATCGTCTCTGCCGCGGCTCCAGCGGACCGAGCACCGAAGTCCAAGCCTAGGCCCAAACCTCGGCCACAGGTATCCGCAGATCGGGATGGCAACAGGGAGAGCCCAAGGACAGTCACTCGCCGTGAGTATCTCCCACCCACCCCCAAGGTGAGGAGCAGAGTCAGGCCAAGAGAGGGGCCGGACGAGGCAACGCACCTGGCCGGCGGGGGCCATGCCGCCAACGACTGTGGTCACATCGAGCCCCGCAACGTCCACGCGGCCTGCAGTTGGCGGCAGAGCAGTGGAGGAGAACACCACGGAGACTACAGAAACCATGGTGACTGTCGCGGAAGGACGGCCGACCACGACAGGTGCGGTAAGTAGTACGCCTGAGGATGCGGAGCTGCAGCGAGCTGTGGAGGACGCGGACCGTCCCTGGCTACATTGCACCCTTACCGGGGATCCTATTGGCCCGGCACCGATCCACAGAGACAGGATCACAGGAAGGCTCATTGTGGAGTGGAACGAGGACCAAACCATCTCCTATGAGGGCAGAGCTGTACTACCGCAGACCGGCTTCAAGTTGTTCCTGGGGGATCTGCTGTCCACAAACGACTCCAGAGACATCTGCCGATCAGCACCGGAGACGCCTCCCATGGCCCGACAACAAATGGTTACGAAGGTTCGGGCTCAGGAAGAATCCGAGCGTCTCACTAGGGGCGCCGAGGATCCCTCGCTCAACGGAGCCGGCACCCCGCCAAGTGCGTTTGAGGCGGACGAAGCTGTGACGCAGTTCATGGCCAAGTGGCTATACATGACCGCAGGGCTCGGGGATATGTCGAGGGCATGCATTCAGGCACTTCCAGGGTCCCACTGCATCTCGCCTCCCCCGGGCAATCCTCCTCAACCCACTGCAACGCAGGGTCTGTCAAATCAGGTCAGGATCACCCCACACACCGGTGTGGCGGACTTGATGCCCCATCGACCCTACTACCCAACCCGCTCCTGTAAGCAGGTCGCACCATACCCTAAAGGGAATCCTCCACCTGTCGTGTCCTTTGGGTTGTACACATTCCAGATTCCCTCGCTTGTAAGCCTGCTTGATATCGGGTTGCTTACCGCCCCAACACGTATGCACGGCCACCCAAGCCTCGGCAGGCTAGGGTTGCAAATTAGCGATTGCAGTAGGACTGTCAACACGCGCGCCATCAGCCAGCGCCCGTACCCGTACAGGGAGTGTACAGACCTGCCGGCATGCTTCCCACACAACCATGCTAGACACTGTCAGCAATGGTATATCCCTACCCTGCTACGCAATCGTGCATTTCAGATTCATCCATGGACACGCAGGGGCGGACTCCGCCGACGAGCGCGAACAGGCCTACCTGGCCTCACCAGGCCAAGCCGAGGCACCCAGGCACGCAGCCCAGGTGCTGCCATTATCCCGTGTGCCGATGCCTACACGGCTTCTGACGTATTGCACGCTGTCCTGAACTTCCTGCAAGCTGCCCCACCAATCTGGGCATACACAGGTGCACTGCATCACCTCATCCGACCGGAGCCGGAGCCTTACCCTTCGTTACTGCTTCAGCTTGTGTCACAGATAGCCCGATGCTTTTGTTGTTGCACACAGCCAAAGCAGTCCGCGGGGAGATTCCGTCACATGCCTACCCTTATGTGGCGTCACCCGCACCCGCGAACCGAGGATAGAACACAACATCGCGCGACAGACATTAAAGATGCACACACACAACCCCCTAGGTCACTGACCAATATGTATGTACGAGGCCCCCCCGATCCCAAGTCCGGGGAGCGTTCCAAAGTACTGGCCACACGACCCACATGGATCCATCGAGTGGTAATGTGGCTTCTCCGGATACAACTCAGTACTGGCACGCTAGACGCGAGGGTTGTCACGTCGGCCCAGGGCGTGACGGGAGCGGGAACAAGCCCCTCCACAACGGTTATTCGCACACCCGCGAAGCCATCACTGGGCACACAGGCGACACATGCGTCGCACCCGCGGAGCTCCACAAGGGTACATAAGCGTACATATGCGAGAGCATTACGTAGAGCACAGCTCAAGGGTGGAGCCTGGTACCGTGGCTCCTGGATCGGCCCCGACCCCCGACACTCTCCCCCACCCAGGGACACGGATAAGCACGGACGTGCTGACGCCCCGACCCGTGACAACTCCAGACACTACCGCGTTTTATCGTGGAACACGGGGGGATTGGGAGGGGGACTTTATGACGAGTTTCTCCTGTACCTGAAGAGATCCAATTTTGATGTCGTCTTGCTACAGGAAACTAAGTGGCGCTTCGAATCCATGTGGGAGGATGCCACTCACTACTTCATCCACTCAGGTACCAGCGCCAAAGATCACAGCCAGGCAGGGCTGCTCACCATCATCTCAAAACACATAGTCGATAAAGGATCCCTGCGATTCATCTCCGCTATAGATGGTAGACTCCTGAGAGTGCAGTTCAAACACGGTCCGAGACAGGTTGACGTCATCAACTTTTACCAGCACACCTGGAGACCTACCAAACATGTTCAGTCACTCCGGCACAAGGCATGGGATTCGCTCACTCAGCAAATCCAGGCAGTCCCGTTGCGTAGCCGACTCCTGGTCGGCGGAGACTTTAACACCCCGTGCACTGCCTCCTTACCGTACGCTGGAGCGAATGTGCTGCCCAAACCAGAACACGGCATCCAGGACGCTGATGATCTGCAAGCCATAGTACAGGGACTAGATCTAGTCTTCCTTAACACATTCTCCCAGGCAGTCCAAGCACACACGTACCAATGGGACCAGCAGAGGTCGCAGATCGACTTCTGGCTGACTCGTCGGCTGCAGGCAGGCGGTAAGGCCAAACTGGCAGGCCCAATACCGGACTTCCATGTAGGACGCTGGAGAGGCGGCCCCCGTCACACACCCGTGCAGGCCAGTCTCATGTACCATTGGCAACCCTGGGAGCATCGCAAGTTTCAACACCTCACCACCCAGACGGAGGTTGATCGCCACGCCATCCTGCGCGCGAGCAGCGCAGCGGATGATCCGCGGATCCCTCAATTCCGGGCAGACGTCCAGACCTTAGTTAGCCAGGGTTCGCTGTCCATAGAACAACTTCAGACCCAGGTTTTTGCACTAGCCTGCAAACACTTTCCCCAAGCGACCCCCCCAGCGTGCGGAGAAGCCCTGGCAAGATGGCACCCTCACCCACTATGCAGAGACCATGTGGGGTCACTTCCGTGCCAGGTCCGCCATCATCCGTAAGTCGCTGGGCAAACCCACGCTAGCTGAGTCATTCCGCATCTGGAAACACACCATGTATTTTCATAGACTGCATCGCGCTGCCCAGACACGTGGCAAGCTGCTCCGCAAGCAAAAGCAACAGGAGCTACTAGAGTCAGCCAAGCAGGCTGCCGAACAGCACGACTTCCGGGAACACCACCGTCTCATTCAGACAATGGCGCCCCGGGCCACGTACCGCAAGTTCCAGCTCAGGCTCAACGGGAAGCTACTCACACCAGAGGCCGAGTTGCGCGAAATGCGAACACACTTTGAAACGCTTTATCAGGCCGACCAAGCCACACCCCTCACCCAAGTCCAGCTCGAGGAAGATGTCCCAGTCACACCTGAAGAACTCTTAGTGTCAATCCAGAATCTACAGGCCTCCAAAGCCGGCCTCCCCGGCTCCTCCCCGGGCGCAATCTGGAAAATCTGTGGAGATCAGGTGGCGCCCCTGGTGGCGGCAGACCTCACACAACGCTGGAGGGGAGGCGCGGCCTCCGTCCCCACAACATGGAGTGTAGCGAGTCTAGCCTTAATTCTCAAACCGGGAAAGCAAGGCACGCTGCCTACTCATTACAGACCGATCGGCCTTATCGACGCCCTAGGCAAAGCATCGATAAGTATGTTGTTTCGCAAAATTAGGCACGACCTGGAAACATACGTTCTCGCTTCCCCACAATTTGCGTATGTGCGGGAACGATCTACACAAGAAGCACTCAGACGAGTCTTTCACCATTGCTCCCAAGCACAGGCGCGCAGGGAACTGGGCGCGCGAAATATTCACCACAAAAGGGCAGGAATAGCGAGCACACCCCTTTCGGGGGGGGTCCAGGCCTGTCTTGATATGAGTACAGCGTTCGACATCATGCCCCGTTCAGGACTACGCGAAGCCTTACATGAGGCGGGAGTGCCAGAGAGTCCAGCGCGTCTACTCCTACACTGGATAGATAGGAGTGTCTACAGTATCCGAGTCGATCAACACACCGCAGAGATTCCATCATCTAGGGGTGTTAAGCAAGGTTGCCCGGTGTCTCCACTACTCTTCGCAGCGTTCTCCACCATGATCACACGCAAATTAGACGCTAAGCTAGGAGCATTGTGGTCCGCCACACACCTGACACTCTACGCTGACGACTGGCACATCTCATGCCTGTTCGACTCTTACTCCGCGTTTGATCGATTCTGCCAATGCCTAGGTGTGGTTCTCACCACGCTGGAGCAGCACGGAATGGTAGTTAATGCGGCTAAAGCCTCTGTCATCCTCACAATGCAAGGTACCCTACGTAAGCGAGCAATCGCTGAATTTAGCAAGGTTCTCAAAGGAACGCGACATCTCATTGTCCGTGCCTCCGGCAGAGATGCCCCCCTTCCCATTGCTAGCCAGGCAGAGTACTTGGGTGCCGTAATCTCCTACCGAAACTTCCGCTCCCTCACGCTTGAGCACCGCATTGGCAAGTGTAAGGCGACGCAACAACGGCTCCGCAAGATTCTGCAAGGCCGTCGGGGACTCACACTAGGGCAGAGGGTTCTCCTTTGGAGATCGACCGTACTACCTAGCGCGCTCTACGGCCTTGGAGCCTGCGGGCTCACAGCGACACAGATGCAGCGTCTACATCAGGTGTTGCTACGACAGTTGCGGGCAATTGCCAAGGCCCCAGCACACTTGACACATGAATCAGACTGCGATTTGCTTGCACGCCTCCAGGTAGCTGCTCCCATACATACACTGAGTAAACAGCATGCACAGCTCATGGCTAGTCGTAACCCTCAGGATTTGTTTGTACAAACCCCGAACCACCCCTGGATGCAGGAGCTACAGGCACTGTGGCACTCGCAGCTTACCCCGGCCCCGGCGCCACAATCCACACCATCGCCTGACGCTCAGCCTCCGGACTGCGATCCGCTGTCTTGTGCTGTTGTGCCCACCGAGACACTCGTCACTAACAGTCACCCGCCTGGCAGCCACGCCACACCGGTCTCAGCAGCACCTGATCGTCACAATTTGCCTGCCGCAGTTCGACCTGACACCACCGAAGGTGCGCCCGCACCATTTCAGTGCCCACACTGCCCCAAGTCTTACCCGCTCCTGTCTACCCTACGTTGGCACATGAAGAAGGTGCATAAGCTGCACATGCCTCTAGTTCAGTTTGATCGATCCAAACACTCGGTTGACGGTATGCCCATTTGTGCCATGTGTAGGGCCTCGTTCACTAGGTGGGAAGTCCTCGAAGCTCATGTTACTCACCAACGATGCACAGGTACCATCCCGTCTCAGACCATGGAACCTCAGGTGCACCAGGCCTCCACCCAAACGCCACCCCCTGCCTCCATGCCCAAGGGTCGCTCGCAGAACACTTCCCTAGAGCCGGAGCCCGAGCAGCTGCCTCCGACCACGGCCCACGCCACTTGTGACACAACTGTGGAGGAGGTCACGCATGCTACAGCCCCAACACCTCCGCAGCTTCAGCAGCTGCCTGATCCCCCCCCAGCTGTGTCCCCCACGACAGGTCAACGCACCTCCCAGACGGAATTGCCACCGATGATGCCCGGTGAGCCTGGAGCTTTCCGAAGTTTTGCCACAGACATTATCAGGCGTAAAGGTTTGGCCGCTCTGCTGCGCTCCTCGCTCATGCCTCAGCTGGATAACCATTGCCTCTTGTGTGGTCAGTGGGTAGCAGCTGCACGCACCATCAAGATACATTATAAGCATGCTCACCCCGACTTGTCTTCTCTCGAGGCTCAGGCCACACAGCTAGCGAAACGTGTAGGAGGTGCCCTTTCGCCCTGCCTGTATTGTGAGAAACCGCACACTCACCCTAGACAGCACCTCGCAACTTGCATTCCCCTGTTTCAGGCCTGCTCCCTAGCCATCTTCTGCGGTCATGGAACCGCAAGCAGCGGATCATGCCTTGAAGGAGATGTTCGGACCTCTCCTGGGGAAGCGCACCACCCCTACAGCGGAACCAGACCAGCAGAGCACCACAGAACGCCCCACCAAGTCGGGAAAGCAGAACGAAGGGGGGAAAGGCAAAGGGCCCAACAAGAGGCAGCCGGGACGCTACAGAGGTGGTGTCCTGATCTCCCTGCAGGGCGATCAGGACAGCGGGCTCTTTCGGGAGACCTTCCAGTTAGTCGCGAGAGCCTTGGTCCACCAGCAGGAGGCCATCGACACACTGAGGTTGAACACCGGGTGGATCTGGTGGCTCCGTATCCCGGAACCTACAGTGATCCCCACCTTGATCGAGGCAGCGGAGCTGTGGCGCGAGCAGGTGACGAAGAAGGACAGCAAGATCCGAGACACGCCACTCAAGCAGGCCATGTTCTGGAGCCTGATGCAATTCGTCATCAATACGCTGGAGAAGCCGTCGGAGGCGCATACCACCCTAGCCAAGAACTCAGGCTGGATCGACAGCAGCGGCCGCTGGGTGTTTCAACGCTGGAATCCCGAATTGCGTGCGCTCGAGGTGGACAGCAACAGAAGTGCACTTACTCACGAAGAGTTGCTCCGGACCATCAAGGAAATTCAATCTTTAATCCACCCGGAGACACTCTCTCGCTTCCATGTGCTTCGACAGCTCGAGCCGCAGATGGAGGGCCAGACAGTGCGGGTCATGATGGATATTGCGCTCAGGTGCCCGGAGGCGACGCAACTGTTTCATGGCCTCACGACGCTGCAAGGGAACTCCTCGCTCCAGCTAGTCGGGCTGCAATTCAAGCGCTCGACCATGCAGCGCCCGCCACTCATCAAGCAGATCCTGGATTGCGCGTTTCACTGAGGAGCCTCATGCTGGTTAACCCAGGCAATTGGTGCTATCTGAACTCTGCAGTTAGGGCATTACTGTGGGCACATACCAGTAACGCAGCTAGCTTGCAGGATGCGGATTCTGAACGGGGTTTTTCTGCGGCAGGTGCCCAGGCCACCCGCTCACTACACGTGACCCCCGCTACCCCACAATTCCTACCAGGCATGCTGCCCTGGAGGTTCATGTTGTCAGGCTGGGCTAGGGCACAGGATCAACATGATTGCGCGGAGTTTCTACATCACCTCTGCCGGGCAATGTGTCCGCAGGCCATGAGCGGGGATTGGTGCGCGCGTAGGCTGGAAGGCGCCCATGTACAACAAATTGAAGAGGCGGGCTGTAGCCAGGCTATCTCTCTCGAGTTGCCACCCGGGGAGCAGCTGAGTGCCCAGTTTCTCATTCACTGTTGGCATACACAACACGCCGTACATGCACTCAGGCACCCACCAATGCTTTTGATGCTTCAGTTCTCACGATACTCGTTTGGACCCACAGGTGCGTGCAAGAATCATGTTCACATCCAATGGCCACGAACCTTGAACATCCCGCTCTTCATTGACGCAGGTCTAGACTCTTGCAACATCACCTACACCGTAGAGGCAGCGATTTTACACCGAGGTGACAGGATTACCTCAGGCCACTATACCACTCTTCTACACACTGCAGGTGAGACCATGTTTTGTGATGATGGTGACGCGCCTCAGCCTCTTGCAGCTGACACATGTCTCGTGGTAGGCTCACAATTTTGCTCCAGGGAGGTTTACATGCTGATTTGCAGGCGTGGGGAAGCGCCGACCTGCTAGGTCGGCACCTCGCACTTTCCACTTTCCCCTTTCCATGTAACTTGGCTCGCATTGTCTGTTTGTCAGGTTGTTCGAGATCGCGATGCCTGGGGGCCTCGCTGTGGGTACGCTGCACTGCAAATTCAGTGAGCGTGAAAACAAGCCAATGTTCTCCGCCTGTACCTCCATATTCCCCACCTGCATCCTCTGCACACCTCCTCACAGGACGTTTCACCTATGCCTTTCACGCCGATTGCAAGTCTGGCTCAGTCATGCTGTGATTCAAGTATCGAACTCATGCTGCCCAGTAAGCCCCCAGAGGTCTCGGCTGAGGACTGGGAGCTTGAGCTGCCCTCCATCTTGGGCTCGGCACACCCGGACTTCCACGGCCCCGCTGAAACGCCCTCTCCCGGAAGCCTGATCTCCGTTGCATCAGATCCTAGCTCGCTTCAGCTTACTCGCTCGCCCCAGTCCACGGTCTTGTATGCCACAGATAGTCCACCCCACACTCCCAGATCCCTTCAGGCCGACATTGACATGTCAGCGGACACACCATTCCAGGAATGGAACATCCCAGGCACCTGCACGGAGCTCAACCTGGATGTGTCAGCCCTGGCTTCGCTCCCGCCGCCACTTGCGCAGGACCCGACGGCCGAGCACTTAGCACACTTCTTCTTACAGACTGGTAAGGCCTCCTTCCATGACATCTCCCGACTGCTGGATCTACTGCCAGAGAAGACATCGGCCAAGCGCAGAGGGCCTCTATGTCTGGATGGAGACAATCGCAAGTGCTTTTCCACTGGAGCGTTTACATTCTCCCACTCCACGGGCGTGCAGAACAATGCTACCCTCTTTCCGAGAGTTACATCGGCCCTGGCAGGGATCATGAGAGGAATGTGCCCGGAGGCCACTTTTGCCTCGCTCACGCTTCAGCGTAACCTTCAGCTGCAGTGTCATCGCGACATCGGCAACGAGCCGGAGCTCCAGAATACAGTGATACCGTGCTCGCGATGGGTCGGAGGCTGCTTGTGGCTGCAGAGCGCGGGCGGGGCACACGCATTGGATCGCGAATCTGGGCCAGGAACTATGCTTCGTATACAGTTGCCGTATGTGCAGTTTTCACCGCACATCCCGCATGCAACTACGCCGTGGACGGCTGGAGACAGAACCATTCTTATTGGCTACACTCCACGCCACTTGCAACGATTATGCGCTGAGGATCGTGCAATGCTCCAACTGAGAGGCTTTCAGCTACCATAGGCCGTGTATATACCCACTGAGCTGCTGCGCAATTCTTTTAATGACCCTTTTCTATGTGCCACAACTCTCGAGGTGTGGCGAGCTCCGGTACGCACAACAGCTGCGTGCTGCCTAAGTGCAGCCGGTGGCATTACATGCCATTGACCCAATCCCTGTCGCAACGCCTGGACTCCCTGGCCGCGGTGCAAACAAACCACCACTGCTACTGCTACTAAGCTGCTACTACTACTACTACTACTGCTGCTACTACTACTACTACTACTACTACAACAACTACAACTACAACTACAACTACAACTACAACTACAACTACAACTACAACTACAACTACAACTACAACTA